CTATCCCATATGCTCTTCTTTAGTGGTATGATACATTATATTATTTTATTTTACCAAGTGGAGGTTCTTAAGTTTGGTTTCCATTTCAGCCACGGAGTCATCTTCAGTTTGAGCTTCCCTTGTCTGAAACAACGCATCGATGTAAGTAAGCATCAAAAACTTGCTATACATCCACACGAAATCCTCGATTGTAAAATTCTAATATGTTATGAGCAAGTGTTTATAAATTGTGTGTGTACGCTAAGTATTTAACATAATAAAGACATGTACATGTTGCTAAGAATAACGTGTAACTCTGTTTTATTTGGGATTACACTTTCTGAGTAAAGTACAAATTTTGTTAGGTTGGAGTCCATCTGTGATTTGAACCAAAACCCCTTGTGGAGTCAAAGGCACCTAATCACATAAAAGTCTACAGTGATCTAACCCACTTCCAGCCATCGCCGTTTCCATAAAACGGAAGTCTGACAACTGGTATCTACGTACCTTGTATACCCCTGGACAAATGTAAATTGACATGGTTTCCTAAGGCCGGAAGGCTAAGTGAATACACAATGCCATTTTGAAAGTAGTCCAATGTAAGATTTGGGATGACACTTCTTAGTTTCTAGATTCAACCCCAAACAGTTCTAGATTCATCTGCAATTCACTGAGAAATTGTAATCCAAAAAATATAACACTCTATGGAAATATAATTGTAATCCAATATAAAACACTATTGAAAGGTGTGTAGTAACAAGAATATTGTTCTCTGTAAACACTATCATGGAATTCTGTGTTCCAGTTCCACATGGGCACGAAACGAATAAATACCTTTTGCATGTTCTTCTTTATCCATTTCTTTGGTCAAGATGGCACAAAATCACAAAATCCTCGATGTATTTCAGCTTTGACAGGTTGTTGGTGTTAAAGACAGCTGCAGGAAATGTCGAGTGGATGAGTCTCTTTCGTCAGACCTTTCAATATCCGCCAGGAGGTCCTTCTTTCGCTGATCAAGTTGTGATCGCAGTGATCTGAAAGTATGGCCAATATTATTTTCCCACATATTGTGCTTTTCTTTGTGTCTGTTATTTCGGTACCTTGTCTGCTATTTCAACATGGGACTTTTCCTAACTCAGTTTTGTGTTGGTCCATTTGTTGGATCCCTCAGCATCAGACTCAAAGAACACCAAACGGCCGTCAACAAACTCGACCTCAAATCCGCAATCTCTGGCCACATCAACAAGAACCAAAACCATGCCATAATGTGTGAAGCCACCAAAGTCCTAGCTACCAGCAACAACAACTGGCGTCAAAGAAAACTGCAAGAGGCCATATACATCAGGACACCCCGACCGTGACCAGGGAACATATATCCGCCTAGAGCTTGGGACTTATTATTTATGGCTTCGATTTGTTTCCATATTTTCCCCTTCCCTTGTTAAATGCCACCATTGTTACCTCATCACGCATGCCTGGGCCGAAAGAATGTATGTTGTGTGGAGGTCTCTTCTGGGATATGTCGTGATAAACGTATATCTCCAAATGTGCTGATAATGTTTGTCTAAGAAATTCAATCGTTACCTTATCATACTGTTCATAAATTCTGTTCAACTATCAATATGACCATACTCGCATGGAAGTTAACAGTAGGTTAATTTGTGAAATATTACACGACTCAAGACCTCGCGATACTCTAAATCCAATGAATTTTCAACATGCAAAATAAGGACTGCGAAGCAAGTTGTATAATGATTTTAAAAAATGCGTTTTCTTAAGTATTACGGTTTCTCTCCGATAGTAATGGCGTGCTCTTTTTCAACATATATCTTTATGGCCAACTGACACAATTTTATTTAGAAACAATGTAGAAACACCCCTTCAACGTCAGTAATAAACAGTTGACAAAAAGGAATACTTACTAGGTAATAGGCAATGTAGTAGCAAAACGTATTACATGCCCATTGCTTACCATCAATTTCTGTATTTAAATCATTCGTGAACCTCTACGTCATAACTATGGCTCTAACTGGTATTATCCTGTACCTTATATCATTGTGTAACATTATATATTGTGTTCATAACAGTTGTTGCCACTTTACTGTCACCACGTCCATATCAGTTCAACTTTAAAAACACTTCTCCCGTACTTGTATATATGCCTCTGTACGTCACACTAAAACCAACACCTAACCGTCACTTCTAATTTCGATAGACGGCGTTCACCCATCTTACCCTTATTCACCTGCTGCTTGCCTGATGCATATAAATGACGTACTGTTGCATTTCAAATATTACAACTCATTGCGCGGGGGTTCTATAGCCTGCAACATTGCCACCACCACCGTGCGGTATTTGAGGGGATGGATCTAATGACAATAATTGAGAAATTATCCCTCCAACTCGAATACCCGTAAAGATCGGTGTTAGAATTGGTCTTCAACAACCCACGCAGGTCGTCAGAGGTGACTAACAGGACGGGTGGCCAGGCTCGCTGACATGGTTGACACATGTCACTGTAACCCAATTGCGTGGGTTGATCAGTGGATTGTCTCGTCCAGACCCGACGCTATACACACACCGCCGCTTTATGGCTGCCAGCATCGATGGGTGCAGTGGTAAACAACACACAATCACACAGACCCGTTCCGAACCTACCCACGAGTCGGTCATCTAAGGATTTTAAATGTGTAAATCAACACATACTTAATGTGTACAAACTGAATGGATATCCTTTTCAGTCCTTTCAATATTGTCTCCCAAAAAGTGTACACATGTATACGAGAAAAGAATTGATTCCTCTACAAATAATGATATTTGTTTGACCTTAGATCCGTGTGTGACTTTGACGAACACAGTTACTGAAATGCATAGGGACCATACTAATAAAAATGCTTACACGTGATATGGTGTCCTATTTCAGAAGATCAACCGCTGATAATCTTATTGAACATGGTTGCCTTAAAGCAGGTTAGCTGATAAACAAGATCACATAGATACTATTGGTCAAACAAGACATTTCCTGAAGACTTCACGACATATGCACATGCACATGCACATGCACATGCTAAGCTGTCACCCACGTCAACATGTAATCTTTTCCGGACTACTGCAATAGCCTCATGTATGGCATAACCAAGACTCAGTTGGTCAAACTGCAAACAGTGCTGCAAGAATGATCACGGGTACCCGGAAATTTGACAACATCACTCCAGTACTAAAAGGTCTGCACTGGCTGCCAAATGAATGAGATCGGTAGACAGCATTGTGGACTCTTGAGAGAATGGCACAGATGCTCGAGGTTTGTTTAAATATCGAGTATAGTATTGTCGTAACTGCCGATTGGGTGTCAGAAGGCCTTTCAACAGTAACTTATTAATATGACCGTTCCACTTGGTCAGTACGAAATGTAAGCTCAAGCTCTACACTCTACACTGGGAGATTCTAAATGAAGGAGTGAGGTGTTGGTCGACCACGACCCATAACTAACCACATTGCGTTCAGGTACTGGCGCACATTCATACAATGATTAACTCAACACCAGGTTTTATACTCACCTAGGTTTACTCAATCCCTCTCTACATTACAAGGACTGGACAGGACAGGACAAGCTCTACACACTACACACTACACTTGGGGGATGCTAAGAAGGAGTGAGGGGTGAGGATGGCGCACATTCATTCAATAATTAAAGTCAACACCAGGCTCTATACTCACCTAGCTTTACTCAATCCCTCTCTTCATTACAAGGAGCCAAACGTGGAAGGGCAACGATCGCGATACGAACGTTCTGCTGACTTTGAAACCCGCACCACTCTGCTGTTGGTGACGGTGTCTTTTAAGGTGTTTCAGCCAGCTCCGCCCTTGTCACATGTCCCGATGCAACAGTTCTGATTCGTTTATAGTTACGCCACCCATGGTCACATGTCGTACCTCGTGATCGGAGAGCTACTCAGTGATTCACAGCTAACTAATACTTGAAGAGTCCTTTGCAGGAGAGACCAGCCCCTCAGTAGGAGATGAGTTAATTTCAAACTACGAGTAATATGGTACTAAAGTGTAATTTCAAACCGAGTTGTATTCGTCTGCAAGAAAGACTGGTCTGCTTAATATATTGTACATGAGAATGTGATTCATTCCTCAAGTACGTATTTACAACATTTAAAATCGTTAAATATATCACTCACTGTGAATTGTATTGGTGCACTTACATCCTATTAAAGGACATCGATACGTTCAGCCACGCAATAGGTCTCAAGACAGCTTCATTACCCGCCACTTACATACACATACAAGCATATTGCTCGCACTGATAACGCGCGATTCGTTTGTTTGTTTGCTTGCTTGCTTTTGTTGTTATAGCGCGGCACTCAACAATATTTCAGCAATACCCGGTTTGTAAATAATCGAATCTTCACCAGACGATCCGGTGTAAAACAACATGAGCTTCGATATACGCAAATGGGTTATGGTGACATGTGTCAACCAAGTCAGCGAGCTTGACAACCCGATCCCGTTAGTCGCCTCTACGACAAGCATGGGTTGCTGAGTCCATTACTTCACGACTGTTTTTGTAAGACACAAAGACTCACAGCTGTGTCTATAAATTTAACTCGCTCATTTATTGGTTTAGTCAAACATTGCTGATATGGACGACTACAGACTCTAACCCATACGACGATATCAACCGAGGTGCAATTTCAGCTCCTGGGGTTTGCAATATAGAACAAACTTTATGGATATTGGGTTTGACAAACACAACAAGGCATACAACCGCTGACGCATGAGAACAATCAATCAGCAACATAAACACTGGCTAAGAAGAAACCCCATACACTTTACCTTGTATGTATACCAAGTAGCGTAAATGGGTATAGGTAGACGGTGGCATTGTGCAATATCGATTGGTAGTGTGCCAAGGCATATTTCAATATCGATTATATTACCGTGATAGGACCCTATTGTTCTATCAAAACCTGCAGTCAAGACATGCTCTTGTCGTGTATTGGTAATATGAGCCAAATCTTACACCCTTCATCAAAGTGTTTGTGTTTAAAAACTTCCTTGTTGAATGTTTCTGAATTACACTTCCCTGTTTCACCTTCTTTTGTAAATGTTCCTTGTATAAAGTTTGTCTATTATCCTTGTTAACCATTGATTTGTTCTGGTTATGTAAATAAATAGTAGTTTTCTTATTACAGCGATAAAGAAACATTTCAAATTCATACTTGGTTGACACATGTCATCGGTTCCCAATTGTGCAGATCGATGCTCATGCTGTTGATCACTGGATTGTCTGGTCCAGATTCGATTATTTACAGACCGCCGCCATATAGCTGGAATATTGCTGAGGGCGGCGTAAAACTAAACTCACTCACTCACTCACTCAAATTCATATACACTAAGGATGAAGGATGAAGTAGTTCAAACCATATATCAACACTGATGCCAATATACCGCGCCCTGCTAATCTATTCTCCATTTCGTTCACAACGCGTGGAAAACCCAAATGAAACGATTATAACACAGATATATACATTTCAGGTAAAGTTCCTACACCCTCTCCTCAATCGACCCAGCACAAAACTGTACCTATTACATACGCACTGATACTTGATACACACAGCAAACATGATTTAACGCAGAGATGCCTCGGTCTCCCCTTCCCTAGCCTTGCTCCAAGGCTGTACTGAATGCTAAACCCATGGATATATACTTTTTGTTTATAATGCTATCCTTCGAAGAGGGCAAGTCAAGATAAGCGATATTAATATTATTTAAACTATAAATTGTATACCTTAGAGACAAGTCTGTTCCTTCCCATTCTCTCTCTCTCTATCTGTGTATCTCTCTCTTACTCTCTCTCTCACCCTCTCTCACTCACTCTCTCTCTCTCTCACGCTCTCTCTCACACACACACCTGTTCTCTCTCTCGCTCACTTTTCACTTGCTCTCTCTCTCACTTTCTCCTCTCTCTCACTTTCTCTCTCTCTCTCACTTTCTCTCTCTCTCTCTCTCTCACACACACACACACACACACACACACACACACACACACACACACACACACACACACAAACAACACATGGCCCTGCCATATACTTACCTCAGATGACCAAACTGTACAGCAGACACCACAATTGATTTTACATATACATGCCACGGTTGCCCAACCCCTCACAAGGAAGCACAAATGAGCAAAGCCTTTAGTATCCCTTTCCGGATCACAAACACGACATTGTGCAAGCATACTCTGAATTGTTCAACACACTTGTGGTTGACAGTTTAGTGGCGCAATCCTGTGTTTCACTAATTTCATTGACACAATTATCATTCTAAAAACATATCTCCCACGAGGGGACATAACACCATGACCATGTTAGAAACCAATACACGCACACAAGCACATGTTATTCAGACATCAAGACAGCAGGTTCCATCAATGAGAGACCCTGTCTCATACCTGAACTGCGAAATCGTTTCAACATTCACATGCGATCCCAATTAAATACAATATTATGCATCATAAGGTGAATATTCCCTGTCTCAATGTGTTCAATATCGATGTTGTGTTCATGCTATAAACGTCCTTGTCCAGTGCTTGTCTTTCCCTTTCTTTGTTTTATATTTCTTGTTAAATGGGCCGTGCTTGTTTTTAATCTTCGTTCACATCCGATGAGCTCTGGTTTTAAGTAATAAGCTTATTCAAGCGCTAATGAAACGTTTTTTCAAATCCATACACCGGATGAGTGAGTGAGTGAGTGAATGGGAGAGTATGGTATTAAGTCGCTTTTATCAATATTCCAGCAATATCACACCAGAAATCGGCTTTACACACTGAACCCATGTAGGGAATCGAACCCGGGTCTTCGTCATGACGAGCTAACGCTTTAACCAAACCCATACACACCGGATGCTGCCGCTAAGGAAGGATGACTTCTATACATATACCAACTTTGATAGCAGTATAGTCCACATGTTTACCTATTCTTTATGCTTTTTACAGAATATTTCTTAGGAGTATATTAAGGTTTTGTTTTGTTACATTTATATGTAGGTTTGAATTTCCTGACGCTATTTTTTCAAAACGGTATTGTGTGCATATTATTTCACTGCTTTTGACAATATTCCGGAAATACAAGACCGGACATCTGTGATGGGCTAAAGATATTTAATCCCATCCGGGTACTTGAATGCGATAACACTTTATCACTCTATACTCCCTTTCCACTAAGAGAATGTATAAATTCTTTCGCCGTGATATTACATTACAGCTAATGCCTTATTTTAGGGTTATCTATACTAGGCAAGTACACATTGTTTAGTACGCTGATAAGCAAAGCATACCTTTATACTCTACCTTCCCAACTCATCAAATTACATATATGCAGATGTAGTAATTTCAGCTCAAGTTTAATCCTTTACTCCTCGATACGTCTCAATAAAATTTACACCACCCCATACCTACCGGCAGATACGATTTATCACATACAAATGATATATCACATACCTACATAGTTTACAAATCCCAAACAGAGACAACAGGTAAGATGTTTCACGTACACACCTCACTTCACAAACCCCATTCCAGACAACTACGAATTAACACATACGTACCTCAGATTCCCCAACCCCATACCAGACAACAACTACGAATTAACACATACATACCTCAGTTTTCTCCAACCCCATACCAGACAACAACTACGAATTAACACATACATACCCTGGTTCCCTACTCCCATACCAGACAGCAGGTACGAGCTGTGACATAATACCTTATTTGCCGTACCCCAAACCAGACAGCAGATTGACCTGTCACACATATATCTTATCTGTCACTCGTGATTACATGTACGCCAAATACATGTACAGTCATACGAGGTCACACACACACACAATATGCATCGAGAAACCTTGAAGACTTAAAGATGAATATACTAAGGCCATGATATAGACACCTATATGTTCTGCCAACACATACATTGAACGAATTTAGACGATATTTACGATAGCAAATCAAAAGAAACATTATATGCTTATGACGTTCTTATTGCTCACATTCTGAATGTTATCGATGTCGGTGGAGTTTAGTCCCGTGCCCAGACTACGCTTGTAATTCAAGTCTGCCAGGTCAGTGCAATAGACAGTAACAGCTGCAGTTAAAGGCGTGTGTATTCATGTAAATCAAGCCTTTGAAACATGCACTTGGTGGACCCACTATCGACTGTGAGTTAGTTTACAGGTACTACACTGCACAAACATTTGTACTACACTCGGCAATCTGACAGTACATTGCTTGGGGCTTGATAATAACACTGTTACCTGTGTCTTGGGGTGAGTCGAGAGACAAACAACACACCTGTCTTTACTGGAGACTGTCGTCACTGGTGAATGCAGACTCAGATCCTGCTGAAAACTATTACACATTGATTTTAACTCTACACATGGTAATATCTGTATTCTCAGTTCTATGAAATAGTTGGCGACAGGAGAGACCATATATAGAGAATACTACACGAGGTCTCATTACATAGGAATTATACGAAGCAGGTGTCCTTCCTATGGTATCTGACCGAGCGAAAGCGAGGTCGATACCATAGGAAGGTCACGAGTTTCGTATAATTCCTATGTAATGAGACCGAGTGTGGTATTTTATTTATTACCTACGTCTTACATGCATTAAATTGACAAAATAACGTATTTTTGTTAATATTTTGGTTTCAAACCGAAACCGGTTTCATAAAGAGGTTGCGGAAGCGTTTTGTACTGTAGTACAATATTTGCATGAACGTCACACTGTAACGACGTCACTGCCTTGGTAACCGACGTCACGATTCATGTCAGTTGTCATCGCCTCGTACAGCCTCCTACAGTAAACTACCCCGTAGCATCCCGTTTCTTGGTTTGCAGTTGCTACATTCGGCTAACATCACTGGTGGAAACATTGCGTTTTAGGTTTTTCGACGGATATAATGTCTCAGTTTGACTCACAACTAAACAGCGATACGGCAACGTTCGCGAAGTTTACATTCCCACAATGCATTTAAGTTGTAGAATGAATGAATTCACGTGTTTGTTATGAATGAAAAAATAGCTACGCCAGAATGTGACCTAATCGAGGGTTATCGGTTATCCAATCAAATCGTTAGAATCTCAGGTCAACGACGCGACGTACGAGATTAGTAAGCAACTACCATACGTTGACCACGTGGGTAATAAATCGGTATATGGTCTCTGGCGACATTTTACCCACGCCTGTGAGTTAATTGTTGAAACATAGGAGGTGAAGGAACATCTGTCAGTTTGATGTGGAGCAATGTCTAGGTGAATAATCCACCTTCGTCAATTTCAGTTCATCAATGAAAAACATACATTTTATTTCACACACACACAAACACGTACATACACACGCAAACACACACGTGTGTAGGTGTCTATGCACATGCAAAACAAAGGACTATACGTGTTGTGGTATATTCTGTCTTGACCAAAGCGGAAATGAATAATATTCCTGTATTACAAATAACCAACATGAACATGTATTATTACGCACACTCCCTTGCGGCAGACATGTCAATAACCTTTTGAACTGAATTCCGAAGAGCCTTGATCACCGGTGCTCAGAGAGATGTATTAAATGGTCCACAACTGCGACACCACACTATGTAATTACTCTCTCCAAGATTTACCGGTATCATGAATTTAACTGAAAAGGTCTTTCAGTACATTCAATCATTTGAGAATGTCAATACCACGTGAATTCTCAAAACCAGAAGATTAACATGTAAACAGTCCTTTCAGACGTTTTTTCCAAAGATGCCTTACTGAAAATATGTTCATTATTCGTTCAGGACAACTTCTGAGAATGCTTTCTCGATATTAACTTAAACTTTAAGAGAAGTCAGTAGACATTTATACTTAGTACGCTATTCGTAACATCAGATATATACAGGAATCAACGTTGTAAATGACATCTGCTACTAAAGGCCCCTTAGTGTGAGATATTCTAAGGACTTATTGCAACAGAGATATATATAATGATAAAGTTCATATCTGTAGTGCGCCTAAATCCAAAATTTGCTCAAAGGCGCAGGTCACAGGAGGGTCTTCAGCTCACTTGAACAAGTCATTGGTTTGCTGGATAAGTGGTGGGAGTTCATTCCAGGGTGCAGGGCCTGCTTCGGCAAAACTCCTGTCACCGTAGAGTGTTGTTCTTGTTATTGGAACATTTAGTTGTTGAAGAGAAGCTGATCGCAGTGTTCTCTTAGGTTGGTATCTGCTTAAAAGCTGTTCCAGATACAGAGGGGCTAGGACCGTAAAGAGCATTTAAAACACGAACATCATAAAACAATCCGAAGGTGAATCCGGAAGCCAATGTAGGTCTTATAAGATTGGCGTAATAAGCTCGTGTATGCGTGTTCCACTTATCAATCTTGCCGCTGAGGTCTGTACCTTCTGAAGTTTGCTCAGGCAAAGTTGGTTCGATCTATACAGCAGCCGTAATGTTCCGTAAAACATTCAGCATCCAGACTCGGTTTCTTCAGTAGAGGTGTGACTAGTGCTTCTTTGAGAGATTTGGGAAATATGACAGTTGACATTGATTGATTGGCAATCTTGGTGAGTACTGGTGTTTTATGATTGACGCACAGTATCATCAGCCAAGTAAGAATCGGATCAGAAGAACACGATTTTGTTGGACTTCGTTTAATAATCCTCTTAATTTCCAAGTCGGTAGTGTGGTTGAAGGATGACAGCGTGTTTGGGGTGGTAGTCATTAATGTCTCATTTGTAGACGACATGTTTGCTGTTGGTACCTCCAGTTCAGATCGAATCTTGAGAATCTTTGAGCTGAAGAAGGAACAGGTCTCAGCTAGCTTGTCTGGTGATGTATGAGAGGGGAGGGTGCTCTGCTTTTCATGAGGAGCAAGGTGTTGGAAACACTGAAAATATCCTTTTGACTGGTGGCATTTGTAATTGCTGTTTTAAAATGGCAAACTTTACCTTCTTCAATAAGTCGCGATCGATTGACACCACCACGATGAACTGCATGAATCTCTTTGAGGATTATCAGTTAAGTGCGTCTCATTTGCCTTTCTAACTAGCTAAGGAGTTGCTTGGCTCTCCCTTATTTCATCCGTGTACCATGATGTCTGATATCGGATGGTAACTTGAGAATTCTTGGATGGCGCATTTTTGTCAAGAAGTGCACTAAGTTTATCTTTGTACCGGTTCTAGGAAACAGCAACGTCATCCGACACAATGTCTGACCTTACTGTTTGAATGTCCTCAACAAATGACGATACATCCATGTCTTTCCACTTCCTACAGAACACTTTCTTCTTGGGCTGAGGGCTTTTGGGAACACTTGTAGTTGCTATGATGTAGCAGTGATCAGACTTGACGGAATGGTCATATTTAAAGTTCCATAGTCGAAGTTCATCGGATCTTGTTATGAGATGGTCCAATGTATGTCCATTTCTATGGGTTGGTGATAGAACACGTTGGACGAGACTCCTGCGCTATTCAATTCAATTCAATTCTTTATTCTCATAAACCACCTTGGTGGGTACAAGAGCATATATTGTAAACATATACAAAATGCAAATTGAAATTCAAGATGGCAAAAACAACATATTAACATTTTCTTCTGACAAGAGATGATAGATGAAGGATATATTGTGACACATTTATAAAAGAGAGCGAACACGTTGAGCGTTTTTGTCGAGCTTAAAATCCACGTCGAAATTAAAATCTCCACATACGATGACTTTGCTTTCAATTTATCCTGTTATCCTGCATAAAATGCTTACCTGTCACTCAATTCAGGTTTAGGTAAAGCTATCACTAATTTCTGTACAACAAAAACTTGAAATGTTGCAATGTACGGTAGCTAACGTGGATCAGTAAGTTTTATTCACAGAATGTCATTTTAGAAGTTGAAAAGGTGAAGTTGGGTTTAACTTCATGCTTGAGAATATATCGTTCACATGACGACGTGCTGCATGAGTGTGTATGTGTTGGTTTTATAGTGCTAGCCCACTGAGATACCACGCCGCAGTGAAGCATGAATACCCCCACTCAGACACATTATACTGACTCCGAGCCGACCAGTCCTTGCTTGTACCCATTAATGCCGAGCGCCAGGCAGGGACCAACAAGTACCATATTTAAAACGTCTTTTTGGTATGACGCGGTATGGGGTCGAACTTTGCGACCTTCCGCCTCCGGGCGGACGTTCTAACCACTACACAAACGGAGGCGGTGTAAAGATGAAGGAAAACAGGTTCTATGTATAGTCAACTCTCTAGAATGTGAATGAGTTACGACGTTTCGGGTGTAGGTACTAACACATGTGCTTGATAACGGTGTTAGTAATGCACCACCGAAACGTCGTATTCAAAAATCTAGCTGTAAATATGTGCATTCACCAGAAAGTCAGCGGCACCCAAACAACCAATATCACTAGCTGTAAATATGTGTATTCAACAGAAAGTCATGACACCTAAACAACCAATATCACTATTAGCTGTAAATATATGCATTCAACAGAAAGTCTCTGACACCCTAAACTACCAATATCACTAGCTGTAAATATGTGCATTTCAACAGAAAGTCATGGCAAATCTAAAACAACCAATATCACTAACTGTAAATATGTGCATTCAACAGAAAGTCATGGTCCCTAAACAACCAATATCACTAACTGTAAATATGTGCATTCAACAGAAAGTCATGGCACCCAAACAACCAATATCACTAACTGTAAATATATGTGCATTCAACAGCAAGTCATGACACCCAAACAACTAATATCACTAGCTGTAAATATGTGACATTCAACAGAAAGTCACGACACCCAAACTACCAATGTCACTAGCTGTAAATATGTGCATTCAAAAGAAAGTCATGGCACCCAAACAACCAATATCACTAACTGTAAATATGTGCATTCAACAGAAAAGTCACGACACCCAAAACTACCAATGTCACTAGCTGTAAATATGTGCATTCAAAAAAGAAAGTCATGGCACCCAAACTACCAATATCACTAACTGTAGATATGTGCATTCAACAGAAAGTCATGGCACCCAAAACAACCAATATCACTAACTGTAAATATGTGCATTCAATAGAAAGTCATGGCACTCAAAAACAACCAATACCACTAACGATAATTATGTTCATTCAACAGGACGTCAT